TTGTCTTGGACACAGACATTAATTGATTATTGTGACTGGAAGAAGGAAAGCATGAGAAGAAAAATAACATGTTAAAGAGTGACCCAGCTTTATTCACAAGGCAGTATGTTTTGTAAGGGCATGATGCCTGTCCCATGTCCCTGCTCCACCTCACAGTGACCTTAAACTCCAAATGCTGCCCTGTCATTGTGATCCTCTCACTGGCAGACCAGGAAGTACAGACTGGCAGGAGTAACTGGCTCTGATGGTCATGAGCAGGTCGGCTGGTGCTGCCTAATGGGGACAGGGACAAGCATGTCTGGAGCTCAGGGTACGTCTAGTACTGCCCTGCCCATTTTAACCGTGAGTGGGTAATTATAGCAACCACATCCAGACAAAGGATTGATCTCACCCCAGGAGATGAACGACTCGTCACCCCACTCTGTACCCCACGGCAGAAGTACTGGCCAAGGGAGAAGAGGTCAGGGGTGACTGGGAGAAGAGAGGTCGTGCATCAAGTCAGTTAAGTCCCAAGGACCGAGTAGAAGAGTGGGGATATGAATGTCTCGCTAACTCAACTCTTTGCTTCTTGTAGAATCAGCGCTGGGGATTTCATGTGAAGGGAGAACGGAACTGAGCAGTGGGGAGGGCCACAGACGCTGTTGGTGTTCTGCGTCTCTCCCGGGCTGCTTTACTTTTGGGGGCGCACAAGGTCCCCTTGTGCTCTCACTGTCAACAGCCAGAACACACATCACTTGTGTGAAGCCTGCCCTTGGCTTCCAGCCTGAAGCTTGCTGGAGTACTTGACCTGTACTCACTGAAGGACAGAAGTGCCTGGCAACTCTGGACCACCCGGAGGCAGCTTCAGCCAGTGATTGATGGATACTGGCATGCAAATACTCCAACTTCTTCAGCTTTAGTTAGGACAACTCCGAGCTGTGGCTCATATTGTTCTCACGACTCTCTTGTAGAATTAACCCCAAATTACCTTCCTCTGCACTTAGTATGTTATCACACTCTTATTTGGTGTGGGTAAAATTGTAATATTTCCAGAATATCTCACCTGTCTTTAGTACATCTGCATATCAGTAGGTGTTCAGAGGTGGAAAGAAGTATGGCTTTAGTGCATGTGCATCATTCCTCATGGGTGGAGAGAACTCCATCTCCAAGTGGGTAATTACTTGGGCAACAGAGGGCTTATCGGTACCTGAGAGGTGAGGGGAGGGGCTGGCTTGCTTGCTTGCTTCTTCCGGAGCAGGGGAGACGGCAGAAGTACTGGCCAAGGGAGAAGAGGTCAGGGGTGACTGGGAGAAGAGAGGTCGTGCATCAAGTCAGTTAAGTCCCAAGGACCGAGTAGAAGAGTGGGGATATGAATGTCTCGCTAACTCAACTCTTTGCTTCTTGTAGAATCAGCGCTGGGGATTTCATGTGAAGGGAGAACGGAACTGAGCAGTGGGGAGGGCCACAGACGCTGTTGGTGTTCTGCGTCTCTCCCGGGCTGCTTTACTTTTGGGGGCGCACAAGGTCCCCTTGTGCTCTCACTGTCAACAGCCAGAACACACATCACTTGTGTGAAGCCTGCCCTTGGCTTCCAGCCTGAAGCTTGCTGGAGTACTTGACCTGTACTCACTGAAGGACAGAAGTGCCTGGCAACTCTGGACCACCCGGAGGCAGCTTCAGCCAGTGATTGATGGATACTGGCATGCAAATACTCCAACTTCTTCAGCTTTAGTTAGGACAACTCCGAGCTGTGGCTCATATTGTTCTCACGACTCTCTTGTAGAATTAACCCCAAATTACCTTCCTCTGCACTTAGTATGTTATCACACTCTTATTTGGTGTGGGTAAAATTGTAATATTTCCAGAATATCTCACCTGTCTTTAGTACATCTGCATATCAGTAGGTGTTCAGAGGTGGAAAGAAGTATGGCTTTAGTGCATGTGCATCATTCCTCATGGGTGGAGAGAACTCCATCTCCAAGTGGGTAATTACTTGGGCAACAGAGGGCTTATCGGTACCTGAGAGGTGAGGGGAGGGGCTGGCTTGCTTGCTTGCTTCTTCCGGAGCAGGGGAGAGAGACGGCACTGGACTGCAGTTTTTAAGCAATAAATGGGTTTTAAACTTTATTTCTCCCTTTGACTGATTTTGGTGTTTAGAGGTATTTTTCCCTGGGATTTCTTTGCCCTGGACTTACACCCTCTTACCTGCTGCTTTAATTGTTTTGTTTTGTGAAAACATTATCCATTAAATCAGTTTTGCAGGAACCTTAATCTCAATCTACTTCGTGGAGAGGCATCAAATTTATTTTGGTAATACTATTAGTGATACTTTGATGTTATGCAGATATAATCAAGCAAGAAAGTAATTATAGTCATTAGGAACAAAGATGTTTAGCCTAAGAAAAGTGTAACAGTATAAAATCAAAGAAGTTTTAAAAAATCACTCTAATATTCAACTTGAATTGGAAATATCAGGCAAAATTATCATTTTAAGTTCTTCCATTGAAAAGGTCTGTGAGTAATGAGACCCAGGAGCCGTAAGTACCACAATGCCCAGAGTGGGTGGCCTCTAAATGTTGTTTCCTACTGAAAGGAACCAGCACTCCTCACAAAAGCCCAAGTCTAAGAGCATGAAATACAATATGAGCCTGGAAAAAATTTTGTGCTAGGAAACAAGAAAGCTAAGACCGCAAGGGTCATGTGATAACAACATAGGTGCCAGTTTGAAGGGACTCCTACTGGCCAAAGAAGAGACAATCTGAGCATCAAAAAAGAACAAGGTCTGCAAGGGATTGAAACACATCAAATAAAATCCATGAGGTCATCATTTTATTTAGTCATTTTTGCTAAAGCACTAAATTATGATTCTGAAATTTTATAAAGTATTTACCCTGACTTTCCTATTAGATCTGTATTTCAGGGTAAGTGAATATTTGATGGCATCATTTTCCTGTTTTGTACAAAATGCCAACTTATAAATGAAGAGAGCATGATAGGATTTAAAAAATTACCATTTTGCAACTTCTAATGAAATAATGGATCTAGGCAACATTTACTAACAGCTGCTAAGAGCCATAGGTGAAAGGGTTATGAGAACTTTATTAATGGATAAATCATGCTGAGACTGTCTGAACCCACCGATCGATCTTATCTGACTAGAAGTAAGACAACCTGGTATCATGAAAGTGTTCAGCACGCCTATGAAGTATTACTGCCCTGTATCTAACCAAGCCTCTTCATATGCTAGCAGTGTCTAATATGTAAGGAGATAAAGAAATATATCAAATGACACTAAAAGGAAGCAATTAGCCAAATCAACTTCGAGAGTCACTGTGTAAATTATCCTGTCTTGTTATTATTGTTGTTGTTTTTAAGTAACAGTAAATATAAAGCGGGAGAATGAATTGTTATAAAATTAAAGAGACATGAAAACCATAACAATTAGTGTCATATGTGGATCCTATTTGGATCCTCATTTAAATAAATCAAATATAAAAGAATAACTTTAAAACAATTGGGAAAATTTTTGTAATGACTAGGTATCAGATGATATTAAGGGATTATTGTTTATTTATTAGATGTGCTGATGGCATGTCAGTTATGTTTTTTAAAGTCTTAATGAATTATATATCCATGCTGTATTTTTGTAGGAGAAATGACATAGTGTCAGGTTTACTTTGAAATACTACAGAAAACAACCATTGGGTATATGGAAACTAAAATGGCCAACTACTGATAATTGCTGAAGCTGGTTAATGAGTACATGGATATTATTAGACTGTTCTACTTTTTAAATATGTTTAAAAATTTCCATAATAAAATGTTAAATAAGGCTTAAGAAAAACAGAATCCAGAAGTGATTTCAAGGCGTACCAGAGAGCAGCATAATGCTTTGGGGCCAGCAAACTGAAAGATGGTTCCCTTCCGGGTAATCATTACCTAGAGCGAGGGACATTGGTGATAGATGGGAATGTTGTTTATTTAAAACATGGACATTGAACAACTGACCTGGGCCTTTCAATCACTAAAAGGGCCCTTGTGCCAGAAACTGCCAGCCTTCGTGCCAAACAGGACAAGGGGTACAAACGTTCTGGACCAGCAAGAAGGGAATCAGAAGGACCTGAACTTCTGACAAAGAAATAATTCAGCTGAATATAACAAGGCATCAAAGCCTCTTGGGCAAACAGTTAAAGGTTTTCAACATTTCTTTAGAGAGAAAATAACTGGCTCAATTTATAGAGCGTCTACTTACTATATGCCAAACATTTATTAGCCACTTTAAAACAATAAATATAAAAATAAAAAATGTATAACTACAGAAGACATTATCTAACTGATTTCAGTAACCGATTAAGGGCTTAGATGTTCCTCTCTGATCAGTAGGTTGCCTTCTATGAATTCCAAGGTAAACGTACCCCAGGTATAGCTACAGATAGGTGGCTGCACCAAGAGAACTTACAGTCATAGCCGGTGAAGCCACTAAGGAAGGCACACCTTTCAGAGGACGTGCCTTAATAAAGTATATCTCTCTCTGAGCAGCTTCAATCTCAGGCAGATATGACCTTTGCAAGAGGGAAGGGAAGGGGAGAACAGTGGTGGGAGAGGGAAGCGAAAAGAGGCAAGAACGAAAGAAGGAAGGAAGAAAAGAAAGAAATAGGGCATTTAGAAAGCCACAGCATTCCTGTCAGAACAGTATTGTTCTGTGTATATCCAGTACTGTTGCAATATCAGTATTGTTCCGTATACATCGCTCTGTCAGTATATCCAGAGCCATCCTCAATAAAAAATCTTGGGAGTACTTATGGAGCAGGTTGACCCTACAGGCAGGGAGACGTGGAGAGCTTGTCTGCTGCGATCCTGAACCGCCTGGCAGATGGCCAGAAGGTTTCCAGTTCACTGGATGATTTTAGGACTCGCATCCCCTCCTCAAGATTCAAGGCAAAGGCGAAAGGGAAGTTAAAAATTAAGCTTTTAATTTTAACATAATGGGGTCAAAGGCTTTGCAGAATGATTTAGAAGAATAAAAAGAGTAGATCCAGAGATTTATTATTTTTTAAAGTTGAAAGGAAAGTCTGCCTTGAGGAAGAAGGAGTTATTTTTCTGCCCTGAATCAGGTTAGTCTTTCTCATCCACACTACTCCGGAGGTTAACAATCAAGTAACTCCATGTAGGGTGATAAAAGGGGCCTTTTCTGTTAAAGAGCTTATCAGAGCTATTTAGTAATTTGGGGGAAAATATCTATTTTCACAAGGGAAAGAAAAAAGAACGTATTTCTAGCAATGAGTGTGAGGTGGACAGATGTGTGGATAGACAAGGCAAGGGAAGGGTGTGTTGTGTGGTGTGTGATGCTCATGTGTCTGTGAGTGCGTGATGTGTTTATGTGTGTGGCTTCTTGGTGTTTGATATGTGTGATTTGTGTGTATGTGTTGTGTGTGGTGCTGAGATGTATTCGTGTGGTTTGTATGTGTGTGAAGTTAGATGTGTGTGATGTATGAATGTGGAGTGTTGGTGTGTGTATACTTTGAAATAAACAGCAGCCCCAGAAGATGTCCCAGTGTGTGATAATGGTAGTTGAGAAACTGCTCTTTTAAAAATACTTTGCAGATTCCATTTAGGAATCTGTCTTTGGAGCATCTGGTGTCATATAAGCTGATGTGGTCAAATCTCAAGGCGCAGACCAGTGCGTGATCAGTGTGCGTCGGTGCTGAGCTCCCGTCAGGAAGAGCTGTCTGAAATGGGACCAGTTCTTTCAATTCACCCACTTTGTTGAGCTTTCTGCCAGCAAAGGCAGACGTGGGGCGGTGGCCGTGCGTCCGGCAGAGGGGTGCGTGCGGACTATCTGCCTCTCTGTGAAGGGCGACATTAATAAGCAGATAGTTATCTTTCAGCTTTATTAAGATATTAAAAAATTAAACTTATTTTACCTCTCTATTCCTTTTCTAAAATTCTTTCTTTTTATAATTAAATTTTCTGACCTTTAGCAACCTCGTCCTGCTTGAATAACTTCTTCTAACATTCTTTGCAGGGCAGGTGTACTGTCAATGAATTCCCTCAGCTTTTGTTTGTTTGATAATCTCTGTCTTATTTTTGCACTTTTGAGAGATATTTTCATTGCATACAGAATTATGGGTTGGCAGGGTTTCTTGTTCATTTTCTATGCTCTTCAGGTTTTCCATGTATTTTTAATCAACCAAAATACCATAAAAGTGAAATGTCAAAGGAAACGCATGGTGGAGTTGGATGGGTCCTGGTGTGATGAAGCATGTTACCTTGTGACGCAGGATTTAAGTCAGAGAGGAGTGCTGGGGGGCGTTTGGTCAGTTTCTCCCTGTGTTATGCTGACATCAAAGTGTTTTGCACTTGCAGTGGAGACCAAACCCTTCAAGAAGAAGAGAAGCAACTGGAACCCCTTATGCAAATGGATAACCAGGTCCCTCCCAAGAAAGGTAGAAATTATTCTCTTACCCCATCATGTAGGCTTTCTTCTTCTTGAAAATGATACCATAGATTCCAGGTGAGAGGATTTTTTCATAAAAATACATAAGGGGTTTTAAAAAGGCTCAGGAAAGGAGGTGAACAAAGCAATCCTGCTATGGTTTTCTGTTAGAAAAACCCTAAATGCAAAGAATCCATGTACCCTGGATGTTCACACTTTGATTCTAATACGCTTGTCAGTTCACCACTTGATGAGGAATATTGCAAAGAGGGTCTGTTTTGGTTCCATCTCAGAAAGGACATAGATTCATGGATGGAAATGAGGTAGGATGAATGTTCCTGAGTCACTGCGTCCTTGCACATGAACAGTTATGTATTTTCTGAACATGTTTAAGGCCCTTGTTTATCCAAAGCAGGGCAAGGAAAGTGTCATGAGGAATCACTGCTATAGACTTAGAATTATGTCCATATCCTGGAGAACAAAATCCCAGGAGAATGGGGTGGGCGAAGGATTATATACTTTTTCAATTTATGTAAAGGTTAGTGATCTATTAAACTTTTATATTTCTTCTTGTATTAATTTTATATTTGATATTTTTATATTATCCATTTCATCTATGTTCAAATTTATATGAATGGATAAAACATATAAATGCATAAAACACCTAAGCATATAAAATTATATATATATATTTAATATATGTATATATATATCTGTATCACTGATTTCTGCCCTTCTGCCTCACATCTCCTTACTCTTAGGTTCTTTGGGTTTGTTCCTTTGTTATTTTTCCAAGTCTTTTAGTTCTTTCTTCTTTTCTGATAAATATATTCAGCAGTGTACATTTTTCTCTAACTGTCCATGGGTTTGATATGCAGTATCTTACTGCTAGCCCCAAGCACTTCAGAATTCTCCTGTGGTTTACTTTTTAACGCAAGGTGAGGACCACACCCTCACCACATGTGTGGTTTAGGATGCACTCTTGAATAGAACCAAAATGCAGAGGAAATAGCAGAGAGCCCAGAGCCACACAGATGAGCCCCAGGTCTCAAGAAAAATCCAACATTTGTCTGGCTGAACTTCAAAACCCTTATGGATCAATGACTATTTTTTTAAACTCTCCATTTCTCCCCTTTTGTAACTGGAATGTCTGTAGCAATTATCTCATGCCTGTCCCACCATTGTATGGTGGGAGTACTGGGAGCACATAATTTGTCTTTTTAGTTTCACGAGTCCACAGATATAAAGATATATAGAGAGATCTAATCCTAGAATGTATTACCTCTATGTCTAGCCTGAGAGTTTCAACTCCAGGCAAGTTCACTGTGGATTCACTGAGACTAAGAAATGACAATACAATGTTCTTGGGATAAAAGGTTTTATACCTGGCTTTATTCTCGTGGGGGTAGGTCAGGAACTAGAGTCATGTCTGCATCCAGTGGTCTGCAGGTTCATAACCCACCTCTGTCTCTGCCTGTGCCCAGAGCGCTGGGCAGAGCTCTTTATCTAGTGACTCAGTCAGTAGGAGCTCACTGCCTAGGGTGTCAAAGCAGTAGCCCAGCAGCAGGCCAGTCACATCATCGAGTAGTTTAGGGTCAGGTGAGGATCCCGGCCACATATACCCCTTTATCCACATAAACCAACCACAGATAACAGTGTAACCAAAGACACACCAAATTGCCCTCTGTTGAGTTGTAGTAACAAGGTAGCTTTCACTTTTCTTTCAGACTTGCCAATAAATGTACTTCTGGATCTATGGCAATCTGATATGTGATCATAGCTTCTCAATATATTTATTGAGATATAATTATATACAACAAAATCACAGATCTTAGATGTACATTTAGATGAGTTTGACAAATGCTCTCCTATGGCCAGGATTCTCACCTGGCCCTCGTCAGCTGGCTCACTACACACGTGTGGGCAATACCTTGTTATTGACTCAATATAAAGAGCTCTGCCCAGTGCTCTGGGCTGCTGAATGGCTGCAGCAGAGCAGAGACTGGAGTGATGGCAGTGCTAAGGACAGAGACTGAGATGGCTGTGGGGGCAGAGAGGCCCAGAGGTAGAGGCTGGCTTGCTGCATGCAGACTTGCTCTGAGTGGATGGGATTCTAGTGACTGACTTGCCACTGTGGGAATAAAGTTGGGTACAAACCCTTTCACCCCAAGAATGTCCCACTGTCAGTTTTCCAGTCTCGTTGAATCCATAGTGAACTTGTCTGGGGCTGAAATCCATTGGCAAGACAACATTACATTACTTTAACAGTCTCATAATGTCCCTTTCCTGTCCTTCCTGCCTAGAAGAAATTCTTATTCTAATATCCAGCCACATCAATTAATTTTGCCTGTTTTTGAAATTCATAAAGATAGATTCCTAAAGTATGCACTCTTTGGTGTCTAGCTTCTTTAGCTGAGCAAAAATTTTTTTATTGAGATTCATCCAGATTATTGAGTGTATCAGTTTTCCTTCCTCTATTTCTGAGTAATATCCATTGTATTACCATTCCACAGCATGTTCATCCACCCCAAACATGGAGCTATTTTGAGTTAAGCTATAAACATTTTTGTGTAAGTCTTTTATAAGTCTTTTGGTAGACATATGCTTTTACTTATCTTGGGAAAATGCCATTTGTTGAGAAAGACTTTAGTCTCCTACACTGAACTGCAATAGTACATTTATTCAAAAGCATTTGGCCAAACTGCTTGGTCTGTTGAAAACAGACCAAATCTATTTCTGGATTCCCTACTTTCTTCCTACTGATGAATTTGTTTGGTCTAACACCAATGCTACACTGATTATTCTAGATTGAAACTACCCAAAAAGTATATTGTTTTAAATCCTGTTTTTCTTTGCAATCTGCATATATGAGTTTCCCAACTGGACTACGTATATAAATTTGGAGATAAGGTGGTTTCCTTGAGAAAAATGTCTTTGTTATTATTTAAGAGGATTTACTTCCAAGACTAACGCAGAGCATTTGTATACGGTTCCTTCAAAATAGATAAGAACCAAAGTACTTGAAGGACTGTTTGATTTTCTGGGATATTCTAGTTGGGATTATATTTAAGGGATGTATAGAATTATCCTATCAGTCACACATCTTCCTACTGTATATAATTTCTCAAAGGCCATTAAATATAATAAAAATTTTAATATTTAGGTCTTCATAATATAATATTGTATGTCAACTACACTTCAACTTAAAAAAGTATTTTAGGATCCAAATTTCTGAGTGGTCCTTCCTAAAGTTGAAATATGTTTTTACCTCAGATGTGTTAACAATAATCCCTTTCTTTCCCAGTTCCAACTTTTTGTTCCCTTCGCTATGGATTATCATTCTTGCTGCACTTCTGTAACACTATAATAATGTCACAGATGATATGTCTAAATCTCACAATAGTAGCCATGGTGAACAGGACGAATCCACATGGTTTGCCAAACACCTCCACAAAGGAGCTACTGGATAACATAAAGGTATATCAAAAATACTATCTACAGTCATACGTTTAACATCCTACCTTGCTAAGTTGTACATGTAAGGATTAAATGTTATCATAATTGATATGACAGTAAAAATTAGAAAAAGAAGCTCAAGTCTTGAGCTTCCTTGCTATAATAATCCAAGTAAATATTTTCCATGATTAAAGTACACCTCAATATTTGTGAAAGGCTTTGTTGTGTGACCCCTGTGTAAAGAAGAATAAAACCCAAAAGTTAGGGCCTCTTTAGAATTGAGAAGTTTGGGCAAGAGAAAAAAAAGGAAACATTTTAAACAAGAAGTAGAAGTCAAGACACATTCATTTTCTTTTTAAGTTTTTGAACATGCAGATATTTACATGTCTCATTAGTTTCATCTATGCAGGGTCATTAGTGGTTGACTTATTAGAAGATATAGTACAGGAAAAGATGGAAATGAGTGGGAAGAATATTTTTTCACTGTATTTTTCCTATGTTTCCTTATGATCATACAGGCCAATATGAACACATTTTCTTATCTTCACCCCTTTCTACATTAAAAATAACACTCTATATCCAACATACTGCACTTTTATTTCTTTCTACACAATCATCAGAACCAGGCTCAGATATAATACAGAGGCAGGAATCCCCAGACAAAGAATTTAAAATAACTATAATTAATCTGTTAGAGGCAGTACTGGAAAAAGTTGGTAACACACAATACAAGATGGGTAATCATGGTAGAGAGATTGAAACTATAAGGAAGAATAAAAATAAATACTAGAAATCAAGTCAACTGTAACAGAAATAAAGAATGTCTTGATGGGCTCATAAGCAGTCTCAATACAGCTGAGGAAAGAATCACTGAACTTGAATATAAGTCAATTGAAAATTCCCAAGCTGAAATGAAATAGAATGGAGGAAAAAAAACTTAACAGAACATTTCAGAATGGTGGACAATATCAAGAGATGTAACATATGCATGCTGAAATACCAGAAAGAGAAGAAGGACAGTGAGAAGAAGAAATATTTGAAAAATTAAGGGCCGAGAACTTTCCCAGATTAATGGCAGGTGGCAAACCAAAAATCCAAGAAGCTCAGAGAACACCTAACAGGACAAATACCAAAATGAAAAAAAGAGAACCTCTTGAATGAAGCCAGAGGAAAAAACGCCTTACCTACAGAGGAACAAGGATAAGAATTATGGAAGACTTCTTACAGAAACCTTTCAAACAAGAAAAAAGGAATGAAATATTTAAAGTGTTCAAAGAAAAAGAAAACCTGTAAAGCTAGAATTTTATATCCAAATAAATTACTTAAAAGTGAAAGAGAATAAAAATTATTTTAGGCAAATAAAAACTGAAGGAATTCATTGCCAGCAGGCCTACCAGCAAGAAATGTAAAAAGTTGATAGATTTTAGTCCAACTATATCAATAATCATTTTAAATGTAAATGATCTACAAACACTAGTTAAAAGACAAAAACTGTAATATTTGATAAGATCTCAAAATATAGCATCTACAAAAAACCTTCACTAAATATAAAGACTCAGATAGATTAAAAGTAAAAGGATGAAGAAAAATGCAAACATGCAACAATGCAAACACTAATCAAAACAATGTTGAAACAGCTCTATTACTCTGAGACAGAAATTTATATAAAAAATTAAAAAGGAGAATATATAGCAAGGAAGATTATCAGAGATAAAGAGGGCATTACCTAACAATATTCTACAAGAAGACATAATAGTCCTGAACGTATATGACCTCAACAACAGGGCAAATATATCCCTAACAAATAGCAAATACAGAAGGCAGAAACTACTAGAACTGAAAGGAGAAATAAACAACTACACAATGGGTGAATGTTTGTTACATCTGCTCTCTGTTTCCTTTCTTTTTTGCATTCCCCTTTTTACCTTCTTTTGGTTAAACTGACCATTTTATATGATATAATTTTATCTCATTTTAATGTATCATTTATACTTAAAAAGACCTGTGTTCGCATTTGCCCAAGGGTTTACAATATACATTTTTAAAATAATCTACATCTACCTTCACATAATACTATACTGCTCCATATGTAGTGTAGGTACCTTATAACAGAGTATTCCCAATTCTGCTCTCCCATCTCATGTGACCCTACTATTATTCATTTCACATATCCATATGCTATAAATACCCAATACATGATAACATTATTGCTTTAAACAAATAATTTCCTTTTAGATCAATTCAAAATAAAATAAGTTATACCTTCATTTGTTTTTTCTGATGTTCTTCCTCTTTTTATGTACATCCTTATGTCTGAGCTATATCATTTCCTTCTGCATGAAAAACTTTTATTAAAATTTGTTTTGTGGATCATGCTTTTGTTTTTACATCTAAGAACTGTTTGCATGGACCAAGTTCAAAAAAAATTCTGCTGTTTTCTTCCAGAAATTTTATAATTTCAGGTTTACCATTATGGTAATGATTTTACATCAGGTTTTATGATTCATCTTGATTTAACTTTTGTATGTGTTGTGTTGAAGAGTCCGTGTTACATATGGCTATGCTATTGTTCTAGCACCATGTGTTGAAAAGACTCCTCTTTCCCCAATGATTGTCTTTGACTGTTGAAAAATCAGTAGTTGTAAGACTAACACACTCCCTACCTGACTTTGAGACTCGTCATAAAGTTATACCAATCAAGAGAAAGTGATATTAGCATAAAGATGGAAAAATAATCAATGAAATATAATAGAAAGTTCACAAGTAGACTCACACATATGAATTACTTTCATGATCTACAAAGGAACTAATGTTAAATTGGAATCCATCAAAATTCAAAAGCCATTGTTAAGAAAATGAAAAGACAAACCAGAGACAGGGGTCAAAGTCTGCAAATTGTATCTAACATTGGAATTCTATTGAACTCAATAAAAATGAAACAAAATGCCTGGTACTAAAACAGGAAAAAGTTCTGAACAGACGCTTCACCAAGGAAGATACGCAAATGGTAAATATTGACGTGTAAAGATGCTCCACATCATTAGTTATTAGGGACAAGCAAATTCACAAAGGTTTATTACTCCACATCAATTTAAATGGCTGAAATTATAGACTGGACATACTATAATTGTTGGTGAGAATATTGAGGCACTGGAAATCTACACTGTAGTGAGAATGCAAAATGGTACCACCACTTTAGTCAAGCATGCACTTACAATATGATCCAGCCATTCCACTGTTAGGTATTTACTGAAGAAAATGAAAACATATGTTCATACAGAGACTTGTACATAAACTCTCATAGTAATTTTACTTTTAATGGCCCCAAACTGGAAATAACAAAAATGTTCGTCAATAGGTGAATGAATGCACAAACTATGGTACATCCATAAAATGAAGTACTATTTAATTTAACACTAAAAAGGAATGAACTATTGATATACAACAACATGAATGAAACTCTAAATAATTAGCCTGAGTAGAATAAGCCAGAAAAAAGAAGACTCCATTTATGTAAAACTTCTAGAAAATGAACACTAAGTCATGTGATAGGCAGCGCATCAGTGACAGGAGAACAGAAGGGAGGCGTTCCAAAAGGTGAAAGGATGCTTTTGGAAGTGAAGAATATGTTCATCATTTGATTGTGGTGATGGTTTCATAAGTGTACACATATTAAAAATTTATCAGGTTAGATGCTTAAAGCCAAAGATTAAATATGCAGTTTATTTCATCAATTGTACCTCAAAAATCTGTTTTAGTCAAAATTTTTTTCTTGAATTTTACTCTTCAATATTTGTAGTATTCCATTGCTCTGGTTTAAATATTGAGAAACATATTTTCTAGAGAAATGGCTACTCAAAGAGGCTGTATTTTAGATCCTTCATTGTAGCGATAGAAGAGGAGCTTAGGCTGTGTAGCCTGGAACATTTTTCTGGCACATTCACGCTACTCTGGAACCTTCTGCTATAATCTAGGGAAACTGATCTCTTTCAAATATGAGTCACAGACAAGGAATTCTCTTTGTTGCTATATAAAATATAGATTTAAGAAATGAAGAAATAAAGCACTTAATTGTTCCAAATTATAAAAGCTCTCTGAATATTGGTCCCACAAAGTAGATCTAAATTTTAACCTGAAATTACAAAATTACAAAATGAACCTGAGAATTAGTGAAGCAATTACAGCTGCGGAAGGAACACCGCGGCGCAGGACATCCAAGGACTCAGAGCAGGGATGGCCCGGTGATGGGCTGTGCTCAGCCAGTAGATGAATGAAGAAAACGGAAGTTGACAGAATTCAGAAAAGGATTATAAAAGAGCAAGAGAGTAGCTTTAGAAAAGAAGACAAAGTAACGAGGAGACCCAGAGAGAGTAGAAACACAAAGGGCATTGTAAAGGGTAGAGTATAGGAAAGAAAAAGAAGAAAGATCAGAAAGGAAGTATCTTTTAGATAAGATACTTCTTATGTAAAAGTTTAGAGGAGGAAACTGTCTCAGATGCTTCCAAAGAAGCTTTATCCGGCCCTCACCTGCTACCATTAAGGTTTCTACCTGTTCAGTGGGTCCAGAAGCATATGCAACTTCCTCCCCACAGTCCCAGCTATAAAATCAATATTCAGAATTTCTTCTATAAACTTTAACAATCCAACAAATCTAGAGAATGCCCCTAACATAGGAAATGACAGAGGAATCCACTCCCTTGAAAAACATGAAAACATGCCGCATCAGAACAAAAGAAGAGAAATGGCCTTTTTCCTTCGCTGTCCCAACCAATTATTTCCACAATTCAGTCAAAGAACTTCTCTTGCTGGTTTGATCTCTCCGTTGCTATTTTCCTCTCTGGGAGCAGCGTGTATGTGGGGAAATGTTTTGTGAATGAGGCTCACTTAACGGAGGAGTCAGAAGAAAAGAGGGAGCACAGGAGCCGTAGTCCTATGCGGTCCTCAGTTTATATGTACTTGGCAACACTCAAGAAACAAGTACTGAACGTCTAGGCTGTGACAGGTACTGGGCTACATATGTTGCCCTTAACTGTAAGGACTTGGCATGACAGTTGAGGATACAATGATTAAAGGTTATTATACACAGAAAATGATGTTTTAAAGGAATAAAAGGTCCCAGACAGAGCATATCAGGCAGAGGGCGCTGCTTCACACGGGGCGAGCCAGAGGACCAGTTGCCCCGCATCCCCGAACGTCACGGTAAATCACCGGCATGCCGAGTGGCTGAACGTGTCTGCTCTTTTCTTTCAGAACCCTGTGTATGATTGGAGCCCTGAGATCCAGGGGCTCATCTTCAGTTCCATCTTCTATGGTGTACTTTTCACCCAAGTTCCTGTTGGATACTTATCTAGAATATACTCCATAAAGAAAATGGTGGGCTCTGCATTATTCCTCAGCTCTCTGCTTTGCCTGTTCATCCCACTGGCAGCTGAAACTGGAGTCACTTTTGTCATCACATGCCGAGTAGTCCAGGGGGCAGCCCAGGTATTAAGAAATGCAAAAACCGAGCAGGGCTTCAATTCACAGGAAGTGTCAGAGATCAAATGTCCTAATCCTTTTCATTTCAGGGGACGGTGTCCGCCGCTCAGCATGCAATATGGATCAAGTGGTCTCCACCTTTGGAACGAGGCCGACTTACCTCTGTAAGTCTATCAGGTAATGACCTAGAGCCTAGAAGAGTTGAATACCATTGGCATCTCATTGCATCATGTTCTTCCCTAGAACCATAAGAAATGTGTGTATTTCGAACTGTCAAGGACTTTGGAAAACCGTCAACCAGCATCCTCATTTTAAAGATACAGAAACTACCTAGAATGGAGAAGAGGCTTCCTTCTCTCAAATAACAAAAAAAAAAAAAAAAAAAGGAGAGAGAGAGAGAGAGAAAGGCAAATATTTTATTCTTTTTCCCCGCTCAGTGTTACGGCATAGGGATTTATTTCACTGGAAACCGTTCATCGCTGCCATCAGGCAACATGACCGCTATTTTCAGATGCCTGCGTTCACTAGGGCTGTGTTTTTGTGCCTCCCGATTAGGGTTCCCACTGGGCTCCTTCACTGCCCTGCTTGCGACTGGGTTCATCTGCCAATCTCTAGGCTGGCCTATGGTCTTCTATATTTTTGGTGAGTCTCTTTCTATAAAATTCCTGTCATTATTCAGAATTCAGGAAAAATTAAAAATAACACCCAGATACAACATAATTTATATGAAGTTAACAATATTAAAAATTATAAATTACATTGAAGGAAAGAGATAAGTCAACATCCTTTAATTTCTTATGACAAGGCATTACACTCAGACCTGCACATGCGTTACTATGCATAACATTCTCAATTCTATGATATAGGTTTTAAAGGCCCAGGCCCCTCTGAACAGTGAAACTCTTGAAGAAATGGATGATCAGAATAGAACCCTGTTTAGATTTCAGGACGATAATAAAATGAGCATACTACTTATACCTAACACCCCAAGCACGGTCCATTAATTTCTGACATAAAATATGAAATCCTTACAAACAGGAATAAATAAGAAACTGTGAAGGACTGGAGTTTCCAATAAGTTGGAAAATAACGTTGACTTTCAGATCATGGTTTCAGATCCATGGAGAAGAGACTATAGATGGATATTATTATGCCCAATTGACAGGTGAGGAAATTTACAGGAGCTTAATTCAGAAGGATTTATTTACGAAGTGATTGATTAAAAAGATAAGAGATGTGGCAGAATCATAAGGATAGTGCAGCAATCTGGCGTCAGCAACACAGAAGCTATTACCATGGAAGCTATTACCATCTCTAGGTCCAAAGGGCCAAGCAGGGGAGTAGGTATATGAATACATTAGGAGACAGTCCTTCCTTAGGAAGGAGATAACTAGGGGAAGAGACCCTAATCTCATTCAACCCTCTCATTGTCTGCTAGGGCTTTCTGTTGGCCAAATCTCTCTAGAAAACAAAGGACATGGTGGCCTGTTGATGTTCTTTCAAGTTAGCCATCTGTGACCAAAGCCACAGAGGGTAGACAGTAGATGAAGGACAAACAGAAGACATCCAATGCACACAGTGAGCAAATGCAGAGCTGTAATGTGAAAACATGTCTTCCATCCTCAAAGTTTCATTGTTGTGTTCATCACTATTATTAGTAATCAGTAGTAAGTAATGATCAGTATAATGATGGTATGTATACACAGACCCTGTATCAGAAAAGGAGCCAAATACACTGGGACTGTCTAGCAAGGTGAAAAGAAAACTTGAGAAAGCATGTCTTTTAGGACTGTCATATCAGAGAAATGCATACCTGCTCAGCATTATAAAATTAAAACTAGTATGTAGAAATGACGAAGAGGTGGAGTTGCAGCTCTATTTAAGAAAAAATTGTGAATAATTAATGCTGACCAATATTGCTGATCAATGGCTGGATGGCCTCCAACATTCATATTGCACCCTATTTCAACGTCACATACATGTGTGCAGCAACATACATTTGCAGTCACTGTGGGTGGCTCTGTGAATCTCAAAGAAAGGGACTATACATCACACTATGGGGACAGCTTTACCAAGAATCGCTTCACATGCTTTCTCTTTCACTTAGAATAGAGGAAAAGGGCTCAGATGGAACCAGGGCAGGTGTTCAGGTATCTGCCTCCACAACTCTTCCAACAAGTCATGTACGAGGCTCTCATGTGTCCAGTGACCTGACCAAGCTGATGGTAGAAGCAAGTCTAAAACCAAGATTTATTATTATTATATTTTCCTTTACTTGAATTTTCCTCTCGATAATGTTAAATAAATCTGAATCCATACTATTTTAAGGAATAAAATAATGTCTGCCTTCAGGCAGCTGATAATCTGGAGAAAATACCAAAATGAGCAAACTGGATCACAAACTCAACGGCCTGGCTCTTCTGCTGTTTCCACGAAGACTATATCAAACTACTCTCCGCAAATCTCTAACATGGCTCCCTTTTCCCTGCTTTCTCTTTCAAGTTACCTTCCTTTCAGCAGCCAGAATTATTGCATAACCTGTCTGTATCCACTGCCCCCAGCTCTTAGCTTCCCACTCTCCTTAACTTATATCTGACTAGCGTCTGACCCCTTCTACCACCAAGACAGCTTTTGCCAAGATTACTTATGGCTCCCAGCAGAGCTGCTCTGAGGCTTAGGCCAGAGGGCCTTTGCTCGGAATTCCACACTGCAGAGAACCCATACTGGCCCACCTCCAGCCAGGCCCTCTTCATAGGTCAGGGATTCTGCAGGGTCAAGATTATGAGTTCATCAGAACTATGACCCTCTTTCTAGCCATCATTGCCAGAAATTTTTGCTCAAATACGATCAAGGCTTTTTCAGACCTGGCAGAACTCTTCAACACATTCATGAATTGAGGCTTTGCTGAGGGGAACAGGCAAAATTATTTGCAGAGGATGTAGGTGGAGCATGATGGGGAAGGCAAGCATCACTGTACACACCCAATCAAAACTTCGAGCAGTGTGGGAATAGATCTGGATAGGATCAGAGGAGGTCAAATCTTAAACCACAGCGACCAGAGATTTGTGGCCAGTGGAACCTAAGAATTCTAAATTTAAACCCCACTTCCCAGGTCAGATATTTCCTCTGGCTTCTTCCAAATTTTGTCTTTGATTTTCTGCAGTTTGACTGTCATAAGCCTCAACATACATTTTTTAAATATACATTTATCCTCTTGGTATTCTCTTAGCTTCCTGTGTCTGTGGTTTGGTGTCATTGCTTTTGGGAAATTCCCAGTAATTATTCCTTCAAATATTTCTTCTGTTCCTTTCCTTTTGTTCTCCTTCTAATTATTTCCCTAACACATATGTTACACCCTTTGCAATTGCCCACAATTCTGTGGATATTCTGTTCTTTTCTACTCTTTTTCTGTCTGCAATTCAGCTTTGGAATTTCCACAGACATTTCTTCAAGTTCAGTGATTCTTTTCTCGGCCATTGCTAGTCTATAGACGAACCTATTAAAGGCATTCTTCATTTCTTCACAGTTTTCTTCATTTCTATCATTTCCTATTTATTTTTTATTAGAATTTCCATCTATCTCCTTACAGTACACATATGGTCCTGTATGTTGTCCACTTTTTCCAAAATAATGCTTAGCATATTAAACATAGTTATTTTAAATTCTTGATCTGATAATTCTAGTATCTCTGCCATATCTGAATCTGCTTGGTGCTTGCTCTGTCTTCAAAGTATGTTTTCTCTTTTAGTATACCTTGTGACTTTTTCTGTTGAAAGCTCAACAAGATGTACTAAGTAAGAGGAACTGAAATAAAATCCTTAGTGTGAGGTTTTATGTTTATCTGGCTTGGCTAGATGTTAGGCTTTGCTTACTGTTTGCTATAGTTTAAATTTCAGAGGCTACAATTTCCTTGTCTTTGTTTCTCTAGAGACTTCTTAAATAAGGGTTGAGACATGCAGTTCTTCCCATCTGGATACCCATTTGCATACAGGGACCTTACTGATGTGGTAGTAAGGTATTATGTGGGGGAGAGTGTTCTATGGTTGTATGATGAGCTCTTAGTCTTTTTCTGAGTCTGTGACCCTGGGCTTGATCTTCATAAATCCTCAGTCTTTTTCCCCCTTAGCTGAAGCAGGAAGGCCAGAGGGGACTGGAGTTACATATTTCCCTTTCCTTAATTGGTTAGGCTCTGGTAAAATTTCCCTTGAGAGCAGGCTTTGTTAAGAAGGACAGATACTCTAGATGTAATTCAAAATGACTACTTTTTCTTTTCCCTGCCGGCAGGGTGAAGGGGTTTATCTCCGATCTTCACTATGAGAACATGGCAGGTCTCCTGGAGGTAAAGCTCACAAAAGCATGGGGAGTCCCCCTAGGACTGGGAACCCTGAATTTTTTAACTCTCAAACGTGTCCACACTGAGCCTACCGCAGTTCATCAATGACTAACGTTTTCTACCCTGGTACACTGGTTCCCATGGAGTTGTCTGCTCTGGGCTTCCATTCTCGAAAGTTGTAACTCTCTGTAACTGCCTGTCTGTCTCTCTAATTTGGGGTACAGTGGTTTGTCCTGTGACTTCAAATTCTCTGACAGATCAAATAAGGGTTGTTGAATTTTTAGTTTGTTCAGCATTTTTCTTGTGGGGATGGGAATGATGACTTCCAAGCTCCTTACATGGTAGCCCAGTATCCAGAATTCTCTTTCCGTGTCATTTTGAAGTTATATATGTCAACATAGGATAGCAAAAGACACTTATTTAACAGTCAATTAACAAATAAATGCTTAATTTATAACTTTTAAATGTTTATGTGTGTTTCCACTTATAAGCTTACCCAAGGCCTCGCAGATGTTACGACCAGCCAAGCCTCCATGCTCGTAAATCAAGTGGAGGTTCTTCAGTCTCCGTTTGACCTGAACTCTCAGTCACATCCAGCAGTGGCATTCTTGCCCTGGGGCCTCTGCCCTGGACTCCCTGCATTGAACCCCGATGCTCGGCCACTCTTTCTCATCTCGGTCTCTCTGACTCTGCCCTCCCTCCGCTGGACTTCACCCTTCCGGCCATTCCTTCTCCGTCTCTTTTGCAGACTTGCTCTCTTCCACCTGCTCTTCCCTCTGGTCTTTCTTTAGAGCTCTGGCCCAAGCTGCTCCTCCAGAGCTCCAGTCCCCCGCTAGACTATATAATCGACGCCTAAGTGCCAGTCCCCACCCACTAGCCAGGTGTCCCTGGGCTGAGGAAGCTGACCTTTCCGAGCATCAGGTCGCTCATTCTGAAAAAGAGGTAATAGCGTCATATGGATTTTCTGAGGGTTGAATGAAATAGTATATGGGTTAAGAATGTATGCTTTGCACACGTACTTAGTGTGTGCTTGCTTCACTTACATTTTGCCTTGGGATTGGGTTATCAGGTCACAGAATGAGGTGGAAATAGTATATTGTCAAAATATCCTTTTAATATTGCTTAGTGTGTCACAAGAGTCTAAGACCCACACGGCTCCTGGTTTCCCCATGTCCGGCCCCATCACTCCCGTCCTCATTCACTTCATCCTCCTCCTGCTCCCTCTCCGGTCCCTCTAGCCTGACCCAGGGCCTTGGCACCTGCTGCTTCCCCTCCCAGAGTGTCCTTGACCTGTACCCATGTCCCAGCCTCCCCTGAGCATGGCACTACTCACCTCCTTCCCCCTGTAACTTCTTTCCACAGCTCTTGGCGCTGCCGTTCAGTACCTTTCACTTATTTACTTTTCATTATTTTTCATCCACTAGAAAGTAAGATCTAGGCAGGGATTTTTGTCTGTTTATTCACTGCTATATGTTAGTACCTGGAATAGTGAATGGCTCCTTTAATGTAGTGGGCATTTAGGCAAATATTTGTCAAATAAATAAACGCATTTCTGGAGGACCGACAGATAAGCACTACATGTTCCCTGTCCTAACAGAGGATTCCCTATGATAAGATCACTAGGATGAAAACACTCAAAAAAACCACAAAAAAACTGGCAAACTCTTATAGGACTTGGACAATCCCTATGGCCTGGGCTGTATCTTAAGAGCATGGCTAAGGTCAAAACTGGGTGATTGTCAAGCCCTGTGAAGGCTCAGTTTTGCTATATTCTCACGATGGGACATGTTGGGAATCTGTACGGATGAGGGCTAAGAGCAGGAAGGCCCAGCTGTCATGAGCAGAGAAATAGGTGATCAGGAGAGAGCAGACAGTTTGCCACCTTTTCTGCAAAATTCTTTCTGTACAGAGGCAACTGGATGCACAGAGGACTTTGAGAAATGTGAGTCTTGTTGCAAAGTTTCACAAAAAAGATGAGGTTCAGGTTCTTAGACCAATAATGAAAACTGCCATTTTGGGAAAGAGACTCACTACAGACATAAGCAATCCCAATTCTAACTTGTCCTGCTTTGATAGGTGCTGGTGGCTGTGCCCTAAGTCTTCTCTGGTTTGTCCTGTTTTATGACGACCCAAAGGACCACCCATGTATAAACATCAGTGAGAAGGAATACATCACGTCCTCCCTCTTGCAGCAGGTAGAACACAGATGCTCCACTTTGGTATCGCCCAGATTCTGCACCAAATGAGATCATGTTCCAGCTTGTTCTGATGTGCTAACACTTAATGGGTTCCTTTCCAGGTCAGCTCAAGTAGACAACCTCTGCCCATCAAGGCGATGCTTAAGTCTCTTCCACTCTGGGCCATTTCCTTTGGTACTTTTGCTTTTCAGTGGACAAATAACATCATGATTTTGTTCATGCCAGTATTTCTCAACTCCAAGCTTCATGTTAGTATAAAACAGGTGAGTATACCTCTGTTCTTCTTCCAACTTTATGAAGGACTCTGTGCTCATTTCTCTGTCTCTCGTGACTCTAGTCCCAGCTCTCGCCCACCCCTATACTGTTTAGCTGATGTTCCTTATCTGGAGACTCACTCTTTCCATTTCTTATGTCAATATTGCCCAGTAGCACTCCCACAACAATACACACTCACTCATGTTTCCACAGATTCCTTACCTCCCATTCACCATTGCATACTACTTAAGGCTCAACACCATCGTTGCCTGTAGGGACTGAGATCCTTCCGGGAAAACCATTTGGCCAGGCCCTGCCACCCCACCCAGCTCATACCGATCCTTTCCTCTGAGGTGAGGCAATGAATCCTGAGCTGAGAATCCATGACTCAAGTTTTATTCTGAAAGAACTGGCACTAGCATTGCTCGTCTGACTTGGAGAATCACTGATGCCTCGAACTTTTTGTCATTTGATGCCATAACAACCAGCAAAGACCCCTTGAGAAATGGAGTCTGGGTTGCCATTTTGGGCACGCAGTCATGAACTTCCACTGAAACAGTCAAGGAACCGCTGCAACAGTGAGGTCATTAAGCTCCGACTCAGTTTTATCTTCCACGAGACCGTGGAGTTGCTGCGAGGACCAGCAGCAGCCGGTCTGGAGCAAGCACCGTCTGAATGTTTGCAACTGTTACCATTATTATCTCTATCACTTTCCCCGGGGCCGGCACTTCCCATTCCCGATGTTGTCCTCCTCTCCACTATCCAGTACCTTCAGGTCCTATGATACTAAAAATGGAAAATGAGACAGTTTGTGAAGACTGTTTCTGACCTCAAACTACTTTTCTTTTTCTTTTGGATAGTGTGGCCCCAGAAGTAATTCTAAGGTTGTATGTTGATGCTATCCTGTATCACAGGACAAATTTGAGATACGGAATTCCAGTGTAGGGATTATGACAACTATCATATTCACTATCACAGTGACGTTTCCTCCTCAGAACGGGCTGCTGTCTGCCGTCCCCTATTTGCTTGCCTGGATGATCGGTATCATAGCAGGGGAGACGGCCGACTTCTTACTGTCCAGAAATATTCTCAGCATAGTTATCATCCGGAAACTCTTCACCACGCTAGGTAAGCAGCAGTGGGGCATTCAAGGACCTTTGGGGCACTTCGCCCTCATCTGCAGGGCGCGCCTGACTGTTGTTTGGATCACTCCCCAGGACTCCTTCTGCCTGCCTTCTTCCACATGTGCCTGTGCTGTCTGAGTTCAAGCGTCTACGGCAGTATCATTTTCCTGGTCCTTGCTAATGCAACAGGAAGCTTTTGTTTGAGCGGAATAATAATAAATGCCTTGGATATTGCTCCCAGGTAGGATTTTAAAAATTTATTTATTTCTTGTATCCAAGCTCTCAAGAGTGTTGTAAGATTTCAACTCTTCTGGAGTTTATGGCCAGCAGGCCAAAAGTTCTAAAGAAGCACCAAAATAGGTCAGGTATATAATTTAAATAATTATTATGTACCTAGTGATATATGTAAATATATGCAACTTTCATATATATGAAGAAGGATAGCCCAATGCTTAAGAGCACAGATTCTAGAGTCAGACTGTTGGGTTTAATAATAACATGACCATCCTCCTCAAGCGAATTGCTTACCTTCTCTGTGCCTGTTTTGAACTTATAAAATGGTAGTGATAAGAGAATGCTTACCTCATAGGATTACTAAGGGGATTAAGTAAATTAATATAGGTCAAGGACATAGATTTGGGTCAGGCCCATAGCAAACACTGTGAGAGCCACCCCATTACTAGTGTTATTGGGTGCATGCTTACATATTATAAATCCTCAAGACCACCCAGCAGTTAGTATATTTATTTTGTAACTAAGGAAACTGAGGTTCACATGCCTAATTGTCAGCCTAAATTCTCCCCACTGGTTTGGGATCTTACCTAGGATTTCGATCCAGATCTATCTGGCAAAGTCTTCCGCTGTCCCTACTATGTTAAACCTTTTTTTTTTTTTTTATCTAACAAGTGTGACTAATAGAAGCAGTTCTGCCATTTGCACAACTCCAGGGGAATGCTGTTTACATTGTATTTTATGGGGCTAGCACTCCCTGGAGAAAATAGACCTAATATAAACTGAATTCTCTGAAGTTTAGTAAAGCAGAGGCCTTGGGGTAAAGGGGCAAAATCAACCAAGAATAATCAACCTTGTCTCAACTTTATGAAGATCTTGCCTATCAGACCTACATGAGGTGAGTGCAAGAGTAATGAGGACATGTGTCTATTTGATTTATTCTGTTCTGAGACCCTCCTTAAAATGCCTGTAGGTTTTCTGATTACTTGGAATTGTATAAAGACATAAAGAATCCACAATACCAGCTGAGCCTTATGCACTTTGGAAAACAGGTAAATCAAAAATGGATATGCAAACAGATAAAGGAAATTATAAATAGCTACAACTTATTGAGTATTATTTATGGGTTTGCCATACCCCAGTGTGAGTGAGATAGTATCACCCGCAAGTGTGGATGAGGAAACAAAAGACCAGGGAAGTGAATTTATGTAAATTTACATGGTTAGTAATACGTAGAGTGAGGTTCTTAGATATGCCTGCCTCTAAAGTTGCGGAGCTGCAGCCACTTCCTCTCTAGTGTTATTTGCCAGCACCCGTCAGTAGGATGTGTAATATCTCAACCAGCAATGGCTTGGGTAAAATAAGCTATGGTCTGAGTTACTTCACTCCAATGTAGAGTCAGAGAGAATAATTATACTTACATACAATTGAAAAAAATTCTTAGTCTCTTAAGGTAGAGACTCATCCTCAATCTTTAGGGCATATGTATGTTGTATCTCAACCACATTAATTTGTGTTGCTTAAACTATTGTTTTTATTAATGGGATGGAGACAGAACTTACTTAGATAAGAATGTTCCTAATCATGTACCTCCTTTGCCTATTAAAGAGAGTTCTCTTAGAGGATAAGTTTCTAAACTGTCCTCTTAGTGGAATTTGGCCTGTTAGAACTGAAGAGTAAGACAAGGGATTACATTTGTTTGGGCAGAACAGAGATGGCAAGAAAGAAATAAGTTCTGGAAGGAAGAAGAAGAGACACACAGATGTGGTTTTGTGAGAATGTTGCTCAGGAAATGAGATCGAGTAAGGCAGGAGACCTGAGATTGCAGTGGCTGCTGTCTCTCTGATGGGTAGCAAGAGAACAAAAGCGCAGAGGATTTTAAAGATGTTCTGTGGTGTATTAAGAAGGCACCGTTATCCCCTCGACATTCTCAAAGGCTCCAAAAAAATTTTAATTGCTTTTAATTATTTTTGACTGATGTATGGATTGCGAATACTTAAATTTCCCTCCATGTGGGGCTGACCTATAGGTTCAGATACCTGAGTCTTATTCAGGTTCTACGAAATAATATTATGCCAAAATACAAAATCAATAAAATCTGGAGTTTACTTCAGTGGCTATTTAAACTTCCAAAGTGTTTTTTACCATGGGCTGTTTCAAATGAAGAATAAGCAGTTTTAGAAATGATTGTTGCCCAGAAATTGTCCTTCGTTAAAAAAAACCTCAAGGTTATTCCCCACATCAAAACCCTGGTATCTGGGAATAGGGTGGCCTGAGAGATGAAGCATAAAAAGTTCTCACCTTGCTTCTCTCGGGTCAGTGAACTGCTCTGTCCTATCCATGTGTAACGGTTTTCAGAGGAATTGTCATGGCACTCAAGATTCTTGACATTAGGTATTCTGTTTATATTTCTGACTATGGAATGAAAGCACCTCTATCGGTAAAAGAGGGTCAAACCGTTTCCCACAGCCACAGCACACTAATGACCTCTGAATCTGGGAAGAGGCGCTCATTAAAGACGTCATAGCTACAAATATACAACAGGACAAATGCAAAGAAGACCACACCTAGACTGTTACAGAAAAACTGCTAAAAATGGGAAGGCAGGAAAGAGAAAAAGCAAGATCTCTGAAAAACAGCTGTATGCAACAGGCACATGGCTTTCGAAAGAGCAGCGGTAAGACTGACCGCTACCTTCTCGATGGAAATGATGAAAGCTAGAAGTTAATCTCTAACAGAAAAACAATCGCTATTAACCTAGAAGTCTATAGCCAGCAAAAATTTCCTTCCCAAATTAAAGTAATATTAAATTATTTTCAGGCAGACTATGAGAAGTCATAAGCAACAGACCTCCAATGAAAGAATTATTAAATGGCAATTTTTCAGAGATGAAGCATACAGATCAAATGAAGAGACATGAAAAGGAAAAATAATAGAGTAAATATAATAATTAGTAAATTCAGTAATTGTTATGTAGTCATTATATAATAATTATAATAATTATTACACAGTTATTACATACTTATTAAAAACAAAAACAATAATACTTTTTGGGCATAAAATATATATAAATTAAAATGCAAAAAAGTAAACAATACATAAGATGAGAGGGTATAAATGAATGTAAGTTTTCTAACATGCTTTTATTAATGGGAATTATAAAAATATTAATTTATATTAGATTAAAATAAGTCAAGACTACTTGTTTTAATTGTTAGGGTAACTACTGATAGTAAATGTGTAAAGGGGATGATATTTTTGAGAAACACTTAATGAAAAAGACATCAAGAATGAAATTAAAAGGGGACATGGAATAGGTGGGAAAAACAGAATGATGACCATTTTAAATCCAATGTATCAGAAAACCATGAAATATAAAATGAGTAGTTCTTCCAAATTTTAAGGTAATTTAGATGGAGATAAAAGCCAAACCAAAACATAATAGATAGAAAGTAAAATAAAGGAAAATAGATCAGACAATGCAAACTTTAAGGGAAGAGGACTAGAGATAAAGAAGGATATTGTATAATTATTTTAATCCACTAGGAGATATATTCTAAATTTCTATGCAGCTAACATTTTACAACTGTGAAGCAAAATTTGAGAAAATTGTTCAACTTCCATACAGGGTGGAGGATGACTCCACATAGGTCGGCTACTGGATGACTGACTTTCCAGCTGGGAAAAAATTTAAAAGGCCAGATAAAATACTAAAAATATTCCCTGAAAGGCAGCAGCAGAGGCCAGTGAGGCCAAAGACGCCACAGGATGGCGCCTCTCAGGGGAGAGCTGGGGATGCCCGCCATTCTTTGGTATCATCTGGCAGTTCTGGGATTTGGCAAAAGGTTGGTAATCCAAGTTTGGCCCTGGTAGAGAGCTGCTGCTTTAGAACACAGAAAATAGGTAAGCATTTGGTAGGTACTCAGGTCTAGAGAAACAAAATTGAAAATTAACATAACTTAAACATACCTTTTTGAGATATTTGTTATGAAGTTCAGTGGGGCAAAAGGCAGAAAACTGAGCAAAAAACCTGTGAGGATGGCAGAATTTCCCAAGCCATCTATGCTGAGGAGGCAAGACCTACTAGGGCCTGGAGGGACCTAGTTGAATAAACTGAGTTCACCATTTAACACCATGGAGGGTGATACCTAAGAATCAGGGGTACCAGAGGTAAACTGAGTCTTATCAAAACTGAAACCTGGCCTCATCTCAGTTCATTCCCTAATTACATTAAAACAATTGGTTCCTTCCTCTGTATCTATTATAGAGAAAGGTGACTCTTTTCTGCAAAGTATGACATATTCTGAGGTCCCTAGCATTTCTTATTCACAATGTCCAGCATTTAATAAAAATGACTAGGCATGCCAAAGGATAGGCCCATGTGAACAATAACCATGAAATGCCATTAGCAGCAGTCCTCCAATGGATAAAGGTATTAAAGTTATCAGACAAAATAACTTTGAAATATCTATGATTAATACATATTCAAGAAACCATAGGGAAAACTGAATAAATATAATGAAAAGATAAAGAATTTGACCAGTACTGGGATCTATAAAAACAATCACCTGGAAGTTCTAGAACTGAAAAAAAAAAAGTCTGAAATTAAGGTCTTAATAGATAGATTTTAATGTCAAATTAGGCACAAGAGAGGACAAGACTGGTAAACTAGGAAGACAAGATGGGTAAACTAGAAAACAAATCATAAGAAAATATCCAAATTAAGCTATATAGAGAAAAAAAGAGTGGAAAATAAAAGAAAGAGAATAACAGGAATGTGGAATGAGGTAATAAGGCTGACAAATCTGTACTGGAGTCTCAGAAGGAAAAGAAAGATAAAATGTGACACAGCAATATTTCAAGATAAAACAGCCCCAAATAATCCAAAAGTAGTGAGACAGTAAACCAACATGCACAAGGCTCTGTGAATTTCAAGCATGATAAAATGTAAATTAAAATATATGTATTTGTAGTAAGAATGCTGAAAATCAAAAACAAAGAGAAAAATCTTTTAAAAAAACTAGAAAGACATGTTACTTTCAAGTAGCAATAGTAAGCCTGACATAAGACTTTTCAACAGAAACTTTGAAAACCAGAAGATAGCAAAATGAGCTCTATAAAGTGCTGAAAAATAAATAAATGCCAACCTAGGATATCATGCCTGCTGAAATTAGTTTTCAAAAGTTAAAGCAAAATAAAAGAGTTTTCAAACAAATAGGCAAACAGAAATTGTCACCAGCAGATCTTCACTAAAAGAAATACTAATTTTTCAGGCAAAAATAAATGATCCCTGATAAAATCTGAAAATGCTAGGACTGAAGTGTAATAGGAGGGTAAATACGTGTGTGTGCGATTCCAGAGACTATCGCTCTTTGAAAACAACAGAGTGCCCTGCAAGTCAAAATGCATGAAGAAATAAAATGTGTTAAGAAATTAAAATACAAGATGAAATAATAAAAGAGCAGGAGGGAGATATACGAAGTCAAAAAATGTTCTAAGATTCTGGTATTGCAGAGAAAATTGCACGAGTATGATTCATAATAACCTTAAATAAAAAGTGCATGCTATAATAATGTCAGTGCTTGAAAAAAGGAGTGAAATAGTTATAGAAGAAAAATGAAACAAGAATGCATGAATCTGAAAGAAAGAAGAAGTGTAAAAGAGGATATCGAATTGAAAATAGTGAGCAGATAAATGACAATTACAAGTGTATCAATATTTATGTTAAATTAATATGGACAAAATATTCTGAGTAAGTACCAAGATAGTCAGACTCAGTAAAAGGAAATGCAGCTCTATACTGCAAAAGACACAAACATGAGGATATAGAAAGGATGAAATAAAGAGATACGCCAAGCAAGTATTAACCAAAAGAAACCTGGACTAACTATTAATGTCAGGTTAAATAGACTTTAAATGCAAAGAACATTGCTAGAAATAAAGAGTGGTATTTCATAATTATAAAGAGAAAAAATAGAATTCTAGTTGTTTGAATCTAATAATATAGCTTTAATGTATATTCATCATGAATTGAGAGAACTCAAAAAACTAGACAAACTTACAATGAAGAAAGAGACTTTCACACACCTCTTTCAATAGCTTTACAAAAAAAAGGTAAACAAAAAGTGAGGGTATGGATGATTAGAACAACAAAAAAAAAAACAACACTGTCAGCCTGACTGACATACGTGGAACTCAGCAAGGAGAGGATTCACATTCTTTTCAGTTGCCTCTGAGACAGTTACTGAAACTGACAGTATGCTGGGTCATAATTTAAAATGATTGAAATTATTCAGAATATTTTCTTTGATCACAGTGAAAGTCAGGTTGCCATCAAAAGAAAAAGATACATCACACCCATTGCTTTGAAATTAATGTTTAGGTCAAAAGAGAAATCGCAATTGAGATACTTTAATGAAACATGACATATCAGAGCATGTGGTATGGTTTTAAAATCATGCCCAGAGAGAAATGATAGCTCCTTAGATATATATTGGGAGACAAATGAGTCTTAAAGTCAATAATCACATTTCTATCTCAAGGAGCCAGGGGAAAAGCAGCACATTAAACCAAAAAGCAAAGAAATTATGAAGATAGGATAGAAAAATGACATGTAAAATCAATAATATCCAAAGTCGGTTCTTTGAAAATTAATAAAATTAATGAAATAAAGATTGATCAAGAAAAATAAAGAGAATGATCAATATCAGTAATGAAAATGCTTACATTATAGTCTTAGCACTTAATAAAGAAAATAGCAGAATATTATGAACAACTTTACACCGGTAAATCTGATAATTTAGAAACGGAGATGTCCCTCAGCACACACACACACACACACACACACACACACACACACACACACACAGCCATAAAATATGATTTTCACTATTTTTCGTGGGGGGAAGGGCTAATAAAACTGACAAGGGCTCACAAATGCCTAAGTGGCCCTATTCCCACTGAAACCCCTGGGGCTTCTATTACTAAAATGAAAACAGGAACAATGAGTTCTGGGTACAATTGGTGGTTTGTGCCCCAGCCTACACCTGTGGCCGCTCCTATTCATGAACGTTGTTCACACAGACACAACTCGAACTTCCACCCGGTAACTACATACAGCGTCCAGACCCCTACGTGACGCCTCTGACCAGGGACACATAAACTCATAAACAAATTACACGCTCCCTCCCATGTTCAACAAGTAAAGGCAAATAGGAATGGAATAGACCCAGGGAAATAATGCAAACAGAACGAAACAAACTGAAGGCCCTCCTTCTCATAAAAGGGAAGAACTAAAAACACAGAACCTTGAATGTGAAATCCGTCGGGCAGGAAAGGCAAAAAACTCCTTGTCCTGGAATGAGCTAATTTCTTTATTGGATACTGATTCTGTTCTTCAAAAGGCACTCTTCGTTCTTCATGGCTGATGGATTTGGTCCTTACTTTATCTGTCATTCTATGAGGCTTCCCTGATTTTAGAGCTCACCCTCTGCTGAAGCTGACTGGGGGCCCGGGTCGTAGTTGCTCGTCAGCCAGACTTCTGGTTTCCTGACCTGAGCAGAAGCAGCAGTCACGGGAGCCAGTAGCCCTGGGACTGTGGAAAAGAACAGACTCCTTCAGTTTTGCGTGAAGCCTGACCCAATGCCTGTTATCCACACACATCACCTTCTGAATTTTTCAGCTGTATTTGTAGATTTCTGAACCCGTTTGGCTTTCACTCTGATATGGTCTCATTTTCTCAGTATTTTAATATTCTTGCTGCTAAAGCCAACCTTTCTGACTATAGTACAACCAGAAAATTATTTATATTCACATTCTTTTTCTGACATTTTAATGGAATTTGAAAAGTAGTAGGAATGAGAAATTCAGGAAACAACAGTTCTCTCTCTTAAACCTCATTTCATTAGAGTTGGCTTTTCCTGCAGCATTTGTGTTCTTTTATATCTATGTATTATCATTATTTTTTGTATAGGTATTATGGATTTCTTAAAGGAGTTACAAATCTAATTGGAATGTTGGGAGCATTAATTTCTTCTAGTCTGACTGGAGTGATTCTTGGTCAGGTAAGGAACATTTAGACATGGGTAGTTATCTTTATAAATATTATTTGTACAGAGAAAGAAGGTAATACATATACAAAAAATTGCAAAAGAGACATCAGCAGGAGCTAAGTAATGAGTTTTTAATGTCATATTAAACTTGATCAAATCAGGCAACCTTCCAAATTTACAGATAATACAATTTCCTATTGCACATCAATTAGTTGTGGTAGGAACGAATTGTTGGTCATTGGAACAGAAGCGGCCCTCTGTGACTTTTAATGATGAATGTGTGGCTTGATAAAAACAGGTCTTTGGGTGAGTGGTGACATTAAGTGACAAGATACAGTTTTTTTCAGAAAAGAAATGAAAAATCTGGAGCAAACAGAATTTTAAAAGGCCAAAAGAAACCCTTCTAAAAGGTCAACTTCTATTTCTACAAGTGTTGTGAAATCCACCTCTTACAAATGTTTAAAATGCACTACAATTTTAATGATCATTTTAAATGCATGCCTGATCTTGGAAAAAAATGAGAAAATTTCAGAGATCAAAAATTAACAAAGAGCTTGATTCCTTCAAGGTAAAGGACCATCAAAGTCACCAGCTGCTTTGAGGACCCAGCCTGGGTAATCTGCAGCTTCAGTGGTAATTGACAAACAGAGAATAAGAGACAAAAATCCCAAAATCACTAATACAAGATGAGTCAGAATGTAAATGCAGGCATAAATCTGTACTCACTAAGGACTACACCCTCATACACGAGCACCATGAAGCTCATATATTAACTTGGCTTCTTTGGAGGAAAACCTACAAGCTGAGAATTAGAAGTGTGCAGGCAATGCCTCCAAATCCTCCTTATCTCATGACTTGGGCCAGGGAGAGATGGTTTGCAATCCCCAGGCCAAATTTCCCATAGAGAGGAGCCCTCCACCATCATGTTCTATGTACTTATGGTATCAGAAAGGCAGGAAAAGTCATTGTTATAATGGGAACTCCCTGGTCAGAGAAGTGGCCTGACTAGAAAAGGAGAACTCCAGGAGACCAAGGTGTGTTTTATCCCCGTGAGCATAGAGCCTATTCAGCCTGTTTGTCTGTTGAATACACTCAGATGTGCTGAGCTGACTTCCAAAGGTCATTAGGTGAGTTAACTTCTCTGCTAACTTCCAAAAGGTGGGAGGAAATGTGGCTCCAGAACAATCCAAAGTTGTCCTTGCCCAGTAAGGAAACATCTGTCTCAGTCTCAGCTTCAAAGGCAGAAGAATAACTGAATGAAGATCTTCTAAACATTTGAATCAAGAAACCAATTTACACAAAGGCTTGTGGCCCAAATTCAAACTCTATTTGCTTCAAATACCATAAGCCAAGAATTGAATTCTAAGTAGTCCACGGATGCCTAGTAGGAACAAATAAAATTTTTCTGGAGAAACTCTCCCTAAAGTCATACTCCAGAATTTTCTCACACATAAAGTTTTATTGAACATGATTTCACAGTCAACCAGAAAGCATGAAACCCTTGAAGAAATAGGTGTCGTGTGAAAATTAGAAGAATAAAAACCCAAAGAATCATATCCTCAGAGATATTGGAAATCTATGCATTCTTTAAAGAAGTAAAAGAGAGGATTGAAAAAATAAAGAAACAGAATCCGACAAAGAACCAAATCTAACCTCTGGCAATTAAAAATATAAAAATTGAAATAAAAATGCTCAGATCAAATACAGCTAAAAAGAGAATTAGTGGTGCTTCTGGGAGAGTAAGCAGTTAATGAAGACAATTTAAAAGCCTGGAAAAATATCAAAAGAATCTTTTGTGAAGCTTCAGAGAACTAAAGAGATAGAAAGCTTTAACAGGAAAGATCTGGGGGAAGCCAGGACCTGCAAGAACTGAGTGGACGACTAGGGGTTATTTTCTCACTAGGGTGAAGAAAGCTGCTCTCCAGGGCCAGTCAGGATGAAGACCTTGATAAATTAAGTTAGAATTTAATCTGAGAGCTTCCAAGTGCTTCATGGGAAGAATAAAGGCTAACAAAAACAAACCAGCCCTCACAAGGTCCGCTTTGAGTCATCTGGGTAGACCAGAAAACAGCAAACCTCAACTTAGAGGGGTTCAGAAGTGCTAGTGTCCCAGACGAGCCTGGTCATAGCAAAGAAGAACGCTGCTTGCAGGAAGATAGCATCACCAATCAAATTATTACTAGAAATAGTTTTTGAGCACAATCTTCTGCAAACAACAAAAGGTAATCAGGCACACTGAGGAGGCATGACAAAATGGGGGAGACCGGCAGAATGCACACAACAGCAAATAGCTGCAGCAGAAACAGACTCAAGGACTACAGTAACGGGCTCTTCAAATCAGACGGTAACACCAGCACGTACTCTCTGTTAAAGTACAAGCCAAGCTTGAAAGTTTCTGCAGAAGGCTCAAAACTGTAAGTCATATAGAATATTTGAAAAAGTACTAAAAATAGTTGTTTTTTTTGTTTTCTGTTTTCCCTATTAATGTGTAATTTAATAATTCATTTTGAATATGCATCAATATTTTAGCCCCATAAGAAGTGTCATTTTCCAGGGTCAAATTGTGTTTTATTCTTTGATTTTTGATTTTTTGATTAAAAAAATTTTTTAATTAAGGTATGGTTGATATACACTCTTATGAAGGTTTCACATGAAAAAAACAATGTGGTTACTAGATTTACTCATATTATGAAGGCCCCCCCCCACCCCAATGCAGTCACTGCCCATCAGTGCAGCAGGATGCCAGAGATCCACGATGTGCCTTCTCTGAGCTACACTGTTCTCCCCGTGATCCCCCCACACCATGTGTACTAAACATAACACCCCTCAGTCCCCTTCTCCCTCCCTCCCCACCCGCCCTCCCCCACCCCTTCCCTTTGGTAACCACTAGTTCATTTGTGGAGTCTCTGAGTCTGCTGCCATTTTGTTCCTTCAGTTTTGCTTCATTGTTATACTCCACAAATGAGGGAAATCATTTGGCATTTGTCTTTCTCCACTTGGCTTATTTCACTGAGCATAATGTCCTCCAGCTCCATCCATGTTGTTGCAAATGATAGGATTTGTTTCTTTCTTATGGCTGAATAGTATTCCATTGTGTATATGTACCCCCTCTTCTTTATCCATTGATCTGCTGATGGACACTTAGGTTGCTTCCATATTTTGGCTATTGTAAACAGTGCTGTGATGAACATAGGGGTGCATGTGTCTTTTTGAATTTGAGAACTTGTATTCTTTGGGTAAATTCCAAGGAGAAGGATTCCAGGGTCAAATAGTATTTCTATTTTTAGTCTTTTGAGAAACCTCCATATTGGTTTCCACAATGGTTAAACTAGCTTACTTACATTCCCACCAGCAGTGTAGGGGGGTTCCCCTTTCTCCACATCCTTACCAGCATTTGTTGTTCTTAGTCTTTTCAATGCTGGCCATCCTTGCTGGTGTGAGGAGATATCTCATTGTGGTTTTAATTTGCATTTCCCTTATGATTAGTGATGTGGAGCATCTTTTCATGTGTCTGTTGGCCATCTGAATTTCTTTGGAGAACTGTCTGTTCATATCCTCTGCCCATTTGTTAATCAGGTTATTTGCTTTTTGGGTGTTGAAGTGCATGTAACTTTATATATTTTGGATGTTAACCCCTTGTCAGATATGTCATTTACAAATATATTCTCCCATACTGTAGGATGCCTTTTTGTTCTGGTGATGATGTCCTTTGCCATACAAAAACTTTTTAGTTTGATGTAGTCCCATGAGTTCATTTTTGCTCTTGTTTCCCTTTCTCAAGGAGATGTCTTCAGGAAGAAGTTGCTCATGCTTATATTCAGGACATGTTTGCCTATGTTGTCTTCTAAGAGTTTTATGGTTTCATGACTTGCATTCAAGTCTTTAATCCATTTCGAGTTTGCTTTTGTGTATGGGGTTAAACAATAATCCAGTTTCATTCTCTTACATGTAGCTGTCCAGTTTTGCCAACACCAGCTGTTGAAGAGGCTGTCATTTCCTCATTGTATATCCATGGCTCCTTTATCAAACCAATTGACCATATATGGTTGGGTTTATATCAGGGCTCTCTAGTCTGTTCCATTGGTCTATGGGTCTGTTCTTGTGTCAGTACCAAATTGTCTTGATTACTGTGGCTTCGTGGTAGAGCTTGAAGTTGGGGAACATAATACCCCAGCTTTATTCTTCCTTCCTAGATTGCTTTGGCTCTTCAAGGTCTTTTGTGGTTCCATATGAATTTTAGGACAATTTTCTCTAGTTTTTTGAAGAATGCTGTTGGTATTTTGATAGGAATTGCATTGAAACTATAGATTGCTTTAGGCAGGATGGCCATTTTGACCATATTAATTCTTCCTAGCCAAGAGCATGGGATGAGTTTCCATCTGTTAGTGACCTCTTTACTTTCTCTTAAGAGTGCCTTGTAGTTTTCAGGGTATAGGTCTTTCACTTCCTTGGTTAGGTTTATTTCTAGGTATTTTATTATTTTTTTAATGCAATTGTGAATGGAATTTTTTTCCTGATTTCTCTCTCTGCTAGTTCATTGTTAGTGTATAGGAATGCCACAGATTTCTGCATATTAATTTTGTATCCTGCAACTTTGCTGAATTCAGATATTAGATATAGTAGTTTGGGTGTGGATTCTTCAGGGTTTTTTATGTACAATATCATGTCATCTGCAAACAGGGACAGATTAACATCTTCCCTACCAATATGGATGCCTTTTATTTCTTTGTGTTGTCTGATTGCCATGGCTAGGAACTCCAGTACTACATTGAATAGAAGTGGGAAAAGTGGGCATCCTTGTCTTGTTCCATAGCTTAAAGGAAAAGCTTTCAGCTTCTTGCTGTTAAGTGTAATGTTGGCTGTGGGTTTGTCATATATGGCCTTTATTAAGTTTAGGTACTTACTTGCCCTTTATATGCATTTTGTTGAGAGTTTTTATCATGAATGGATGTTGAATTTTGTCAAATGCTTTTTCAGCATCTATGGAGATGATCATGTGATTTTTGTCCTTCTTTTTGTTGATGTGGTGGATGATGTTGATGGATTTTTGAATGTTGTACCATCCTTGCAACTGTGGAATAAATTCTATTTGATCATGATGGATGATCTTTTTGATGTATTTTTGAATTTGGTTTGCTAATATTTTGTTGAGTATTTTTGTGTCTATGTTCATCAGGGATATTGGTCTGTAATTTTCTTTTTTTGTGGTGTATTTGCCTAGTTTTGGTATTAGAGTGATGTTGGCCTCATAGATGAGTTTGGAAGTATTCCCTCCTGTTCTATTTTTTGGAAAACTTTAAGGAGAATGGGTATTAGGTCTTCACTAAATGTTTGATAAAATTTAGTGGTGAAGCCATCTAGTCCAGGAGTTTTGTTCTTAGGCAGTTTTTTGATTACCAGTTCAATTTCGTTGCTGGTAATTGGTCTGTTCAGATTTTCTGTTTCTTCCTTGGTCAGCTCTGGAAGGCAGTATTTTTCTATAAAGTTGTCCATTTCTTCTAGGTTATCCAATTTATTACCATATAATTTTTCATAGTATTCTCTAATAATTCTTTGTATTTCTGTGGTATCCATAGTGATTTTTCCTTTCTCATTTCTGATTCTGTTTATGTGAGTAGACTCTCTTTTTTTCGTGATATGTCTGGCTAGGGGTTTATCTATTTTGTTTATTTTCTTGAAGAACCAGCCCTTGCTTTCATTGATTCTTTCAATTGTTTTATTCTTCTCAATTTTATTTCTTGCTGCTCTAATCTTTATTATGTCCATCCTTCTACTGACTTTGGGCCTCATTTGTTCTTGTTTTTCTAGTTTCATTAATTGTGAGTTTAGACTGCTTATATGGGATTGCTCTTCTTTCCTTAGGTAGGCCTGTATTGCAATATATTTTTCTCTTAGCACAGCCTTGGCTGCGTCCCACTGATTTTGTGTTGTTAAATTATTGTTGTCACTTGTCTCCATATATTGCTTGATCTCTGTTTTTATTTGGTCATTGATCTCTTGGTTATTTAGGAGCATGTTGTGAAGCCTCCATGTGTTTGTAGGATTTTTCATTTTCTTTGTGTAATTTATTTTTAGTTTCATACCTTTGTGGTCTGAGAAACTGGTTGGTACAATTTCAACCTTTTTGAATTTACTGAGGCTCTTTTTGTGGCCTAGTATGTGATCTATTCTTGAAAATGTTCCAGGTGCACTTGAGAAGAGTGTGTACCCTGCTGCTTTTGGATGGAGTGTTCTGTAGATGTCTGTTAGGTCCATCTGTTCTAATGCGTTGTTCAGTGCCTCTGTGTCCTTACTTACTTTCTGCCTGGTTGATCTGTCCTTTGGAGTGAGTGGAGTGTTGAAGTCTCCTAGAATGAATGCATTGCATTCTATTTCCCCTTTTAATTCTGTTAGCATTTGTTTCACATATGTAGGTGCTCCTGTGTTGGGAGCATAGATATTTATAATGGTTATATCTTCTTGTTGGATTGACCCCTTTATCATTATGTAATGTCCTTCTCTGTCTCTTGTGGCTTTCTTTGTTTTGAAGTCTATTTTGTCTGATACAAGTACTGCAACTCCTGCTTTTTTCTCTCTGTTAGTTGCATGAAATATCTTTTTCCATCCATTCACTTTTAGTCTGTGTATGTCTTTGGGTTCAAAGTGAGTCTCTTGTAGGCGGCATATAGATGCGTCTTGTTTTTTTTATCCTTTCAGTGACTCTATGTCTTTTGATTGGTGCATTCAGTCCATTTACATTTAGAGTGATTATCAATAGGTATGTACTTATTGCCATTGCAAACTTTAGATTCATGGTTACCAAAGGTTCAAAGTTAACTTCCTTACTATCTAAGAGTCTAACTTAACTCACTTAGTATGCTGTTACAAACACAATCTAAAGGTTATTTTCTTTTTCTTCACCTTTTCATTCCTCCTCCATTCTTTATATATTAGGTATCATCCTCTGTATTCTTTGTCTATCCCTTGATTGACTTTGGGGATAGTTAATTTAATTTTGCATTTGCTTAGTAATTAGCTGTTCTCCTTTCTTTACCATGGTTTTATCACCTCTGATGACAGCTATTAAACCTTAAGAACACCTCCATCTATAGGAGTCCCTCAAAAATACACTATAGAGATGGTTTGTGGGTAGTAAATTCTCTCAGTTTTTGCTTATCTGGAAATTGTTTAATCCCTCCTTCAAATTTAAATGATAATCTTGTTGGATAAAGTAATCTTGGTCCCAGGCTGTTCTGCTTCATGGCATTAAATACATCATGCCACTCCCTTCTGGCCTGTAAGGTTTCTGCTGAGAAGTCTGATGTTAGCCTGATGGGCTTTCCTTTGTATGTGATCTTATTTATCTCTCTGGCTGCTTTTAATAGTCTGTCCTTATCCTTGATCTTTGCCATTTTAATTACTCTATGTCTTGGTGTTGTGTTCCTTGGGTTCCTTGTGTTGGGAGATCTGTGGATCTCCATGGCTTGAGAGACTATCTCTTTCCCCTGTATTGGGGAAGTTTTCAGAAATTACCTCCTCAAAGACTCTCTATCTCTTTCTCTCTCTCTTCTTGTTCTGGCACCCCTATAATGCGATTATTGTTCTGTTTCAATTGGTCACACAGTTCTCTCAATATTCTTTCCTTCTTAGAGATCCTTTTTTCTCTCTGTGCCTCAGCTTCTTTGTATTCCTCTTCTCTAGTTTCTATTTCATTTATTGTCTCCTCCACCGTATCCAACCTGCTTTTAATACCCTCCATTGTGCTCTTCAATGATTGAATCCTGACCGGAAATTATTACTGAGTTCTTGGATTTCTTTCCATACCTCCATTAGCATGTTGATGATTTTTATTTTGACCTCCCTTTCAGGAAGAGTCATAAGGTCCATGTCATTTAAATCTTTCTCTGGAGTTATATTAATTTTACTCTGGACCGGGTTCCTTTGGCGTTTCATATTTGTGTATGGTGCCCTCTAGTGTCCTGAAGCTCTACTCTCTGGAGCTACTCAGCCCCTGAAGCAATGTCAGGGGTCACAGGGGAGCTTCACTGGTGCCTTGGGGGAGGAAAGAGCTGTTCCCCACTTCCTGGCTGCTGTGCCTGTCTCCACTGCCTGAGCCAGTGGGCCGGGCACACAGGTATAAGTTTTTGTCCCAGAGCAGCTGGATATGGATCCCTGCTTTCCACAAGTGGCTGGAATCTCAGTCTCTCCAGGAATTCTGCCTGTCTTAGCTTTCCAACCCTGTAATCATGAGAGTATCATGAAAGCACCATGAAATGTAGGTTTGTGCTCCCAGAGCAGATCCCTCCCTGCTCCATTTCTCTTCCTCCTGCCGGTGAGCTGGGGTGGGGAAAGGGCTTGGGTCCCACCAGGCCACAGCTTTGGTATGTTACCCTGTTCCGTGAGGTGTGCTCTTTTCTCTGGGTGTATGCAGTCTGGCACAGTCCTGTTTCCTGTTGCTCTCTCAGGGTTAGTTGTATTAATTATATTTTCGTATTATATGCAGTTTTAGGAGGAAGCCTCTGTCTCACCTCTCATGCTGCCATCTTTAATCCTCTCCTCAAAAAAATAGTTTTAAAAATGGAAAATTTAAAAACAAAATTAGGAACTCAGTGGATGAACTTGACATATATAGCTGCAATGCTAACAACCCAAATCCTGGGAGCAGAAAACTACAAAAGTTTTCCCTTTCTTGGCTGATGGAGACATCACAAGTCACCTGGTGGGTTAAGCGGGGAGAGCCCCTTCCCTAAGCATTCCCAGTGGCCGAGGCAGAGAAAAGGTGGGTAGTGAGTCATGCGACGTCTCTTTAACCTTCTGCTCCACCTCATGGTCCAAAGGAGTTGCACGGCTGAACTTGACTTTAAGGGGGCTATGGAGTGCTACCTTATCATGTGCCATTTGGTCAAGAAAGAGGACCAAAATGTTTGGTGAGCAACTTACTGATTATGTCAGTCTACTCTTCCACTCACCAAAAATTCAGTTTACTCTTCCTGCCTGTGGGACAATTTTACTCCTCCATACAGGATGTGGCACAAACCCAGAGTCCCACCTAGTTACAGCATCAAGTTCAAAGTGCAGAATGCATCATCCCTTCACTGGAAGATAAAGCACGACACCCCTCTACAGCAGGGGTGACATGCCCCATTGTGCTGTAAACTATCACAGCACAGGGATCCAATGGCCATAATAAATACTTCCTTTCAGAACAGGAAGACTGGTAGACAGACAGCAGGTCCATAGTAATACCAATACCCTGCCAGTCGCAAACATGTTTATGATATATTTCCAAATGAAAAACCATATACATTTTTGGCTTTAACACCATGTATATCATAATGTCATTTTTATATATGAAAATGATATGGACATTGACACAGATCAGAAGATAGACAAATAGTGATTATCTTTGTAGAGTGAAATCATGACCGTTTTTGCCCCTTATGAGTTTTCCATGTTAATGACCTGCATTGAGCCTAAATTAATTTTAATATTCTATTTTAAATGTTAAAAAATGCAACAACAAGCCCCATAATTTATAATTACTTTGTCTTTAATTCTTCAGGATCCAGAATCTTCCTTGTTTAAAACTTTCTACCTGATTGTGGCCGTTAATGTGATAAGCCTCATTTTCTGCCTTGTATTTATTAAAGCAGAAATTGAAGACTGGGCTAAAGAAGGACAACACACACGCCTCTGAAGGTAGGAAGTACTTAGATTAAGAAACAGATTTTTTTTTTTAAACTGGCAGTGTTGGTGCAAGTGCACTGAAGATGACTCCTGAACAAACTGTGGTGTTGCTGACTGAGATGGGGAAAGATAAGGGGTGCGGTTTTGGAAGAGAAGAGGGCCCCATGCAAAGCATGAAACTATATGACATCCTGATGGGGATGGTATGCAGCCCAGAGGATGTACTACCCTTGATTCTGGGAGATACTGGAGCTAGAGATATAAATTTGGAAGCCTGGGCCCCTCTAACATTTAAAGGTGAGAAGGGAAGGGGATGTCTGCAAGGGTGCCTGGGAAGGGCCTTCAGTGAAGTAGGAAGAACCGAAGACTGGGGTATTTCAGAAAAGAGGTAAGAATGAGTACCCATGACAAATGCTACCCCGAGGTCAAATTACATAAGGTTTGAGAATTTCCTAATGGATTTGGCAAGAGGCACCTTAAGGTCGCCCTGAGTAGAATGGTTTTGAAATGAATCATGGAGACAAAGGCTCCATTAAAGTTCAAGAGTGCCTTTCTTTAAACTCTGTCAGTGGTAAAATAGAGAAATGTGTTTTTGTAAACCTGTTTCAGCTACTACACAAGTAAGAATTGATAGGTGTGGGACATACCCATTTTATAAACTTCTATGAATTCAGGGATCCAGGTGCTGTGCATCCACGGCTGTTAACATCACAGAAAGAGAGACATGGGAGACATGGCGTACATCCTGATGAAAGAGCGCACCACCACCGAGGTCCTGCTGCGAGGACCACACTGAGATGATCTAGCCCCTGGATAGAGCTACTGTTTGTAATAAGAAGCAGGCAGGATGGAGAACGTGTTGAACTAAATTCTAAGGATATCATCAGCAAATCTAAACCGTGAGAATTTTACAGGTCAAAGACTCAGATTTCTTAACAAATAAATAAATTAAAAGGAAAAAGAAAAAGGTTGGAGAAAGTAGCCTCTAGATTAGGAGGGACTTTAAAGACATACTAACTTTTCTGGCAAGTCTAACTCTACTCATATATATACATGGGTGATAAATCTATAAGTACATGCACAGAAAACATTACTCTAGATGTCAGGATAGTTATTACTTTTAGGGGCAGGGAGAGATTGTGATTAGGATAGACCACATGGAAGCTTCTGGGGTCTTGGCAGAATTCTATTTTTCATGTCCAGGGTGGCTATTAAAAGTATTCATTGAGTTACACATTTGTTTTGTGCATTTTTCTATATCTATGGTTTATAATAAAGGAAGGAAGGCAAGGAGGGAGGGAGACAGAGGACATGAACTGAGGGAATGGAGACAGCAGAAACAGACAACCCTGCAAAGGGAATCAGAGACATGGCATGGTACCTGTAGGGGTATGTGGCACTGGGGGCTTTTGTTTGTTGTTTGTTTTAGAATTGGTTATGGGGACAAATACGGTGGGTCAATATATGGGTTGGTATTTTATCTGTGCAATAAGCAGTGAGGTTTTTACTTAAGAGGGACTAGTTGGGAGGAGGAAATAAGAATTTCACAGTGGAAAGGGGTAAAATTACCATTATGAATGAATGATATGATTATTCACCTAGAAAAATCCAACTTGGTTGACTAGAAAGCTATAGAAATAATAAATGCATGCAGTAAGTTTCCTGACTAACCTATTAGTACAGAAATAATTTTTTTCAGGTTAAACAAGAATAACCATTTAGCAAATTTATTGAAAGAAATGATCTAAGTGATGATTGGAGGGAAATTTGATAGTTTTAATAAAAAAATTAAATGGATTCAGTACTGTTGGTACTAAGAATTTCCATAATGGTGCACTCACAAAATTTAATCAAGATGCATTTATACTCAATATTGCTTATTAAAAATGGCAAAGATGTAGATAAAAAATGTAGAGTCAGTGTAGTCTTAGTTAATAGATTCTGTATAAATGAATGGAATATAACCAGCAGTTGAACAATATGGGAGATCATACAAATGTTTTAATATAGAAATTACTGAGGTCTTTATGAATAAACACATAACAACACTAGGATATATTTCATAGGTTAACAAAGGTTTACCTTCTCTTTCCAAGGTACAGAGTTGGACACATCTATGGCAGTAATCATTTTATTCAGACCCTATACATTTTATTTGTTTCTATATATGTGACCTATTAAATACAAAATGTTATACTACTAAAGTTTTCTACTATTGTTATTTCTATTCACTTCTGTTTCTGCTCAGGCAATCATTATTGAACATTCTGATGTTATATTACAATTTCAAAAAATTTTGACAAGTAAATCTTAATTGGAAATCATAGAGAACATGGATATTTATGACCATCATTCTCTCCTGACTTTAACACGAGCCACTCTCCACATCAAGGAGCCTACTTTGCGTACCTGTGGGCGGTAGGATGCTTACTGGCCCACAGAGCCGCCCATCAGTCACGGGACTCTGAACCCAGGGGAGAAGTGCAGAGGGAACACACAGCACCTGGGTCCCATAGGTCAGTGGTGACAGTCACCACAGAGACCTGCCCGCAGAGTCCCTCCTGGCACTATGGGTGGGGAGGCAGCCGGAAGATCGGGGAAAGTGGTGGGCATGGGCAAGCCGAGACCTCAGGGGGGCGGGGAGAGGACGGGGGTGGGGGCGGGTGGGTAGAGAAGCTGCATGGAGCCCCAGTGCTGAAAGGGGAGAGAGCCCCGGGCTGGGGAGCAAGCTGCAGGGGCGCAGGACCAGCCAGGAGAGCGCGCTGTCTGCGCCCGGGGACAGCAAACCTGGGGGGACCTGCTTTTAGCCCCCAACTTGCCCTTGTCTTTATTGGGTTTCACCAAATTCATAGTGAACCTGCCTGGAGTGGGAAACCCCCTCCTCCTCAAGCAACAGAACTTTAATTTTGATTTTCTGAAATTATCAGTCTTTTCCATTTTGTGATTTTCGCTCTTAACTGCATTATGATATTGCAACCTCAAATTTTTTGTTTGTGTGTTTGTTTTTGATTCCCTGGAATACTTTTTTGTATTCTTTAAATTCCACTTGAGTCATTTCATGGAATATTTGGTTCTTACAAAGTGTACCTAACTGGGGTCACGTATTTCATCCCCTCAGAGCTATCTCCTTCCTACAGATGAGTTGAATCCAACTGCATTTATTATCATTACAAATATACTTCATTTTCTGTTACTTTATATTCCCTTAAAAAATTTCCTCATTCTTGTGGTCCTCCCTCTACTCCAGCCCCTTTAGTGCCTCTAGCAATTTGGAAGGTTTATGGAATATTTTAAATTTTGATTGTGCTTACACTTTCATTAAATCTTTGAAAATGTGTTAATTTTCATTGGCATGCTATTTTCTCTTTCTGCCCTCTCCCTTCCAAAATATCTAACACATTCAACTTTTCTAATTCTTTTTCTCTGGTCAGAACTGATTCTACCTGAGCTTACAATTCCCCAAACATGATGTGGGTATAATTTTCTCCATTACCTGGTCTTGTTAGGCTCGGGCTGGAGGGCCGGAAGTGTGGAATCCGCCTCGCAGCCCCTGGGCTCCGACCGACAGACAGCGCAGGGAATGCCAGCCCAGGCAGCAGGGTGGTTGGGAGATGTTTTCCTCCACGCTGCTTTTTGTTGTGTTGATTGCTGTTACGTCCACACGTACCTGTAACCTATCCTCCATCAGGTGCACACAGCTTTTGCTTTCCGAATCAGCAGTATTTTTCCATCAGGGGCAAAACACACGTTGTTGCAAAACTGTTCAATCTCAACTTCCATCTTAATTGAAGAAGTTAGGGGAAGATAAAAAAGAGCTCAGTCATGGTCATGCATTTCTCCTCCAGCCCAGAGGCCATTGCCAAGGGCCAGGAACTGCAAAAGCCCGTCTGGTAACCAGATGCGCTTCTGCCCTCTTGGCTTCACCCTGGTGGGAGGACCCTGCAGGCCTAGCCCTGGGGCGTTTCCTGTCTTCCTTCCTCGGAGGAACGCCTGGGAGCCTCAATCTGATGGGCAGCTGTGAGTTGATACCAATGTCAGCTTTTCGTTTGGTCCTCGTTGTTGTAAATTTAGCAAAAAGTCCTTGCTGGTTTTGGCATGAGATAGTTTCCTAGTTTTTGTAATTTTCTATTATTGCTTCTTTGAATTTGTTTCAGTGAGTTCCTGAGACAATAGTTGTGAAAAGGGACATGCATTCCGCCTGTGGAAGTTCCTTAATGGAAGCAAGGCTTCTTTGTGCAATAGACATCAATTCAGAATATAGCAAGGAGAACTCCAAAGGAGAAGAATTATGTGAAATAGTTACCAAGATACTTAAAAAGCATATTTATGATAATATATATGTTTTTTTATTTCATTAAATAATTAGAATGAACAACAGGCCTGATATAACTAATGTAATTTCAAACTAGTGATGAGCAAAACAATATATTCTGGGGTATTGGTAATAACTGTAATGTCATAAGAAAATATTTCTTATGGCATCTGAAGGGCCCCCACCAGTAAGATGGCAAACTTCCAGCTTCTCTTCGGGGTCCTCGGTTCCCGCCGACGCCACCTGAAGCCCAATCACCTCTCCCCCGCCTCCCAATCCCAGCACCTAGCCAACAGCCACCAATCTCGTACAAGTAACACCACAATCACCCCATGCCCCTTCTTATATAACCCAGCACCTTTCCCTAATAAAGTGGAATTCTCCGGTAAATTGCTGCTGTGTGTCGCTCCTTTCCTTTCAGCATCAAAGTCACAGTACTGCTGATACTACTGTCACTTGTTGCCTGCCATTCATAATGGAAAGAAATACTAAATTTCAGTCATTGTTTAGGGATATAGAGATGTAATTTTTTTCTATATAAATTCACAGATTCCAGATTAAGAACTCCTGCTTTATAATATTCAACCAGATAAGAAATATTTTATACTGAGATAGAGAAATGAGCAACACCATCAAGAATGCCCATGCCTAAAAGAGCTTTGCAGTGTGGTGTGTGTGACAGGGTGAGGGAGGGAAGGGAAGGATGAAATCTATATTTTAAAAGTTGGGACAATTCCAGGTACTGATACACCATGAAGAATATGAAATAAGGTAACATGGTAGGAATGTCCAAGTGACCTACATTAGATGGAAAAACAGAAGATGACATTTGTGCTGAGACTTTAGTGATGGGGGCCACGTGAAAATCTGGGGAAGGAGTGTTCCAAGCATAAAAAGTTACTAAGGTAAATATCTTAAGATGGGAGAGAGCTCAGCCCACTAAAGAACAGAGGACAGTGTGGCTGGGATCTAGTGAGTAAAGGGAGATGAGATTTGGAACTACAATTGACCCTTGAACAACATGAGTTCAAACTATGTCCACTTATGTGCAATTTTTTTTCAATAACTGTATTGGAAATTTTTTTGTAAATTTGTAATAATTTGTAAAAACTCACAAACAGTGTAGCCTAGAAATAGCAAGAAATAAGAAAAAGGTATGTCACGAATACATAAAGTATATGAAGATACTAGTCTATTTGATCATTTACTGCCATAAAATCAACAGAGTAGGCTATTCATAGTTAAGTTCTTGGGGAGTCAGAAGATACATGTGGATTTTCAACTGTACAAGGGTCAGTGTCCATAGTACTTGAGCTGTTAAAGCGTCAGCTGTTAAGGGCCAGATTCTGTAGAGTTTTTAGGTCATGGTGAGAGCGTGGTTTGAATCTAATTCTGAGTTTAACTTTTGACTCCCCCAAAACTTTATTAATAGTTTATTTGACCAGAAGCCTTACTCATAACATAAACAACACATATTTTGAATACTGTATGTGTTATACACTGTATTCTTAACAATAAACTCCAAAAATTTTTCCTATATATTTATAGAAGAAATCCATGGGTAAGTGGATCTGCACAGTTCAAACCCATGTTGTTCAAAGGTCAACTGTGTTTCTTGTATGTTTCTTACAAAATTTAATTTATATTTTATGAATGTGATTTTTATTATATTTTCTTACATGTTTGGACTAGGATATAGGGAAGATAAATTGAATTTTTTTTTTCCTGAAAAACATAACCATGGCTAAGCTACCTCAAGTTATCTCTTTAGGATGGTTTATGAGTTGTTTCTCTGGTTTTCAGGTAGACAGTCACATCATTTGCAAATAATCATAATAATTTTGATTCCTCCTTTTTCTTTTCTTTTCCCTTGGCTCATTACCCTTCACAGAATTTCTAGAAAAACTTAAATAATGGGTTAATGTTACTTTTCCTTTATTCTTCATAGCTTTAGCTGCATAGACTCTGGTTTTACTCTTAAGTAATAAATTGGTTGTTTTTTAAGTTTTTTATTGAATAATAATTGACATACAATGTTGTATTAGTTTCAGGTGTATAACATAGTGATTTGATATTTATATACATTACCAAATAGGCAACATAATAAGTCATTATCAGCAGTCATCATACAAAGTAGTTACATTATTATAGACTATATTTGCTATGTTGTATGTTACAACCTTAGGTCTTATTTATCTTATAACTGGAAGATCACCTTTTAATCCCTTCACCCTAATTTGGCCAATTTATGTTCAGGAAATGAAAAGGGGATGGCAAGGGCTTGTGCTTTCCTTTGGAAATCACTCAGTGAAGAAGCAATGAGAAGTCTGGATTTTTCCCCATCTTTTCTTTTTTAATACACACATGGGTTAAAAAAGGTCCTTGGTCATTTTAAATAACAAACGCACAATCCCAGTGAGGTCACTGAGGATACTCATTCCAATATATAACTCAGCACATCAATTACGCTTCAAGTATGAGACCCCTTTCCGGACTGTCCCGCTGGGACAGAGTTGCAAGCAGACAATCTCCTTCAGGGAAAAGGTGTGACTATTTTCTTCTCTCTCCTCACCTCACCCCCCCCAGTATGCTGACTCCACTTACGGCCCCTTCTGGGGTATAACAAGGGGAGGGAGGGAAAGCAGGTATGGAGTTTCTTGATCACCTGACCCTGTTGTGAGATGCCTTGTGCTCCGGGGTTGGCAGATGTTAAAAGAAGACTCTTCCCTTCACATACACGAGGTCTGTAAGGCGGCAGCACAATGGGTTTTTCCAGCCACTTACCTCCCCTGGCCCTTGGCTCCGCTCTTCACAGACACTTGCTGTGGGTACCCTGTCACCATTTCAGGGGGTCCCTTGATCTGACTGCTGTTCCTGTGATCTGCATCTGGTACATGAGAAATAGCCATTCATCCTCTAGGCTGACAGAATTGGGAAGTGTAGCCCA